GAAGAAGTCAAGAAGATGGCGGCGATCGAGCACATCCGACCGGTGATCTATCCCGAGTGGGTGGCCAACATTGTCCTTGTTCCTAAGCCCCCAGCTTGGAGGATGTGCATTGACTTTACCGACCTCAATAAGGCCTGTCCGCTCGACCCGTATCCTCTACCGAGTATCCACCAGATGGTCGACTAGACGGCCGAGTGGGTATGCCTTTGTCTTTTTCTTCTTGTCTTTGCAGGTAACAGGTCAGGCTTCTTGTGAGGAACCCGGTCGGGATCTGACCAGGAGTTGTCCGACAAATAGTGTCGACCACCGAGCGGTAGCCCTTTAGCGTGAGAGCTGGCAAAGGACACGTGGCGGTTCCTTGCGACGACAGACAGGGCACCCGGGAGGATGACACGTGGTGGCTACGTGGAGAGCATGCCGAACGGCCGGATTTGTGTCCCCGGCGCAGCGGCTATAAATACCCACAGTAGCTACAATGTGAGGGACTTTTGGACGATCGATAGGTTGTTACTAGAGAATCCCGACCGCAGTCAGTCGGCACTCAGAGCAACCAAGTAGATTGTACTTAGGGCCTTTACCGTGATCAATAAAGATATTTACTTGCTTTAGTTGGTCTCGGGTTTATTTAACTATTGCTTACGTAGAATTAGCGGTATCAGGTATGAAAGTGATTGTTGTTGTTTGGTTGATAGGTTTTTAGGACACTACTATGGGTTTCGAATACCCCATCAATTGAAAAATCCATACCCAAATACAATAAGGGTTTCATTCCCTTATTCATTCTCAAGCACTACTATTAGTAACCATTCACATTCCACCCTACTACCAAACATGTTAAATACTTTCACCAAAATCCATTACCATTACCAAGTATTTGATACCCATTTCAATTCCGATTCCTATGTGCGAACCAAACACACCCTTTAGTTGTTACAATCTCGTTTTAAACTATGAGTTAAAGACTTTAGGTATATACTTAAAAAAGTTAAAAATTTAAACGAATATCACTTGGTAACAATTAAGAACTATTATTATTATTATTATTATTATTATTATTATTATTATTATTATTATTATTATTATTATTATTATTATTATTATTATTTGAGCACACGTGCGATCTTAAATGTATTTTAGGAGCCAAAAAAAATAAAGAATAGGTGCTCAACGCGTAATGAAGCTTGTTTTACGTGGACAACTTTCGGCGGTGCCAAGTGGTTCACTACAATGTTCATTTCGTGTACATTTGAATAATAAAAAATAAAAAATAAAAAATAAAAAATAAAAAAGTGTACAAGAATACTTGGACACAAAATTCATTTTTAAATAAAGGATAAGGAAGTATGGAACTAAATAAGTTTACTAACGTTACAGAAGGTGCTAGGCGTTAGTCGTGTGTCCGGAGATATTTAATGTCTAGAGCGTTTAGGTGCTTTCTAGGCAGTTGAATAATTCTAGTAGTATATCGTTTTAACTTTTTTTTTTACTTAGGGTTATGAATTGTTAAATAATTATAATCTCACAAATTAGTCAACTATATATGTTAGATGGTTAGTTGAGTACATGGCTGGAAGAATATAGAAGAGGAGCAATCGAGCGGGCAAAAAATACCACTTGACCGAATTGGGCGCTAGGCGGAGTTAGATGCCCAACTCGATGCCTAAGGCTGAAATTGCCTCGGCCTAAGAGCGGCTGCCTAGGTTAATTTTTACAACACTGAAGTTTAGTAAAGAGATTTTTTTTTTCGTTGAAACCTGATAGTGGATGGTCTGTTACTCTGTTACATATCGAGTTATGATCGAGTCGAATACAAGTAAAATAAATTTTACTCTCGACATAAAAAGAGAGCTTTATTTATATTGGTGATCTTAGAAATATCATGATGACATATTATTAATGGGCTAACATGGTATCTTTCATTGTTTTAAATTTTTTAGCTTTATTTATATTGGTGATCTTAGAAATATCATGATGACATATTATTAATGGGCTAACATGGTGTCTTTCATTATTTTAATTTTTTTAGTACTATTAACCCGGTTACATCAATTGTTATGCCATGAAATCGTGTTTACTTTGTAAGGTGGACACGGTTTTATGTCCGTAATTACTGAACTTCATATTCGTTTTCGTTCATATATACTTTCTCAACTTGACTTTTTAATTTTTTTTTTTTAGTACTATTGACCCTGTTCATTTTGCAAGGTGGACACACAGTTCTATGTTCATAGATATTCGTCGTCAATATCGCCTTCACTAAGACTCGAATCTATAACTTTCCATTTGAGAGAGTCATTTCATGTCGTTCCACCACAAGGTCTTTGGCCATATTTTAATTAGAAGTATGTAATATATCGGTATTATTCGATTACGAAGTTTTAGACAATACAGTGATATTTATCCGATATCAATTATCAAGTGCGTCTTCTAGAAATCTACGTAATGGAGTAGGTTTTACTTAATTCTTCATGCGGGTGTTTATTTTGGACTATTCGATCTTCTGCTTACTTGCTCAATTTTTGTTTCTAAATGCTTAATTTTCAACGTAGAAATTGTCTAATTGAGCTCAGCTCCAATCCAGAGTGGCGTCATTATATTGTGTCAATTTTAATTTAATTAATCCCAACCATAGCTATCAATACAAGCGTGTGCGCATTGTTATGGATTTGTGGCATTCAAATTTTGTCTTCATTCTTGGATGGTTAAGCCGCCCAAGGACACCCCATGCCAATCACAACTTTATCAATTTTTTATTTTTATTTTTTTGAATGCTACTGACTCTATTACATTGTAGTATCTGTTCAAACATATTTTCTCAACCTAATGAAGCACACAAAGTCAACAATGCATCTACTAAGGCTCGATCTCATAACCTCCCACATAGGAGAGGTCACTACATACCATCTGAGCACAAGGTGGTTGGCACTTTATCAATTTAATATCACTTGAACTTCTCTTTTTTAATTCCGAAAAAATCCACAGCCGCTATATGAAAATACCCTCAAACTCGTTTTGCGATCTTAGTTGACAATGTATCACAAGGATGTAAACTATTCTAGGTTGTGACTATAGCTGATCAGCTCAAACCAAGAAAACCAAAAACAACTTCAAGAAATCTAACTTGAAACCTTATAGTTACAAAGTCAACCGTCAGGTCAACTTTGCTGAAGGACATGAGATTGAAAAGTTAATTTATCTTGAAACAATTGCTAATTATATGAGTTAATCCCTTTATATAATGCATATTTAGATTAGTTTTTCAAAAGTATTGTAATAAAATTACCACGGTCTTTTGTGATGTTAGGGTAAAGATTTTTGTAGGATAAAATTTAAAAGCTTTTATTATACAAAGGATCAAAAAGACAAAATTCAAGAGAACATCTTCACTTTCATCTTTTCGGAGTTAAAAGGCCAATGTCTATGTAATGCCCCTGGCAGTTTGGTGAAGAAACAGAAGAACAATTAGGGAGATAAGAGAAATTTATGAAAGAAATTGAGATATTTGTTCGATAAAATCAAGCATGAAAAATTGAAAATACATGAGTATTCAACTAAAATTAAATAACCGTATAGTAATCAGACTTCAAGATCAAAACGACATTGCTTGACACAACGTCATCTGAAAACGTCTTTTTATCCTACAACATCGTTATCTCTTTAATTCTTCTCGGTTTGTTTCTCCTTTGTAGCCTTCTTTTCTTCTTCATTCCTTTGATCACTTCCAGCTTCTAGAATCATTATCTACGTTGATTGGTTAGCTATTATAACAACCATTTTATACCTAAACTATGACCTTTAAAAGATTTGAACCTATTTATCTTTATTATTGATATCATTGAAGTTTATTAGCTCACGTTTTACATAATTCTTATTTGGTTATTTTATTCTGATCTCCCTCTTGTATTAAAACGAATTATTATTATTTAGTACTTCGTATTCATCTTGATCTTTTACCGAGAAAAAGAAAATACAAACAAAAGCCGCCCAAGATTTTGAATACAAGTCTCCACTCTCCTGGCCAATTTTTAATTTTTTTTTTTTTATTTTTGACTTCGTATGCATGTTAAGTAAACGTATTCTTAAACAAATTGTCAGTCCCATCCCAAAAATAATTGTGAACTGATCATTTATAGATTTTAATTTACAAGAAAATCAGCAACAATGAGTTACACCTACTTTATAATCATACCCGACAAAAAATCACAAAGAAATAAACAAACTTATAACTAACTCAAACCAAGAAGATCAATAGATAACTCTAAATTAAATTTAGAATAAATATCCAAAATGGTCCCTCGACTATAGCTAAATTCACAAATTGGTCCTTGACTTTCAATTTCAACCAATTAAGTCCTTAACTTTGCAATTTTGACCGTTTGTTGACCTTGATCGACGATCTCCAGAAGAACCTTCAGCTCTCGTCTGAGCACGTGGAGGCCTCCAAGATGACGTTGCACCGGTTAAGAAACACGTCGTCTTCTTCGCTCTGGTACGAACTCAACTACATTGAATCCAAAGGGAGGATGAAGAAAGACGACCGGATTTGGTAGATCGCTTTCGGTAGTGAATTTGAATGTAATAGTACGGTTTGGAAATACAACCAGAACCTTAAAAAACCGACGATGGACCATGAAATTACATATATATCCTCAAAAATCACAGTCAACAAACGGTCAAATAAACAAAGGACCAAATTGTGTTAAAATTACAAAGTTAAGGACTTAATTGATTGAAATTGAAAGTCGAGGACCAAATTGTGAATTTAGCTATAGTCGAGAGACCATTTTGAGTATTTACTTTTAAATTAATACCTTCTAATTATCAAACTAAATGTCCAACCAACTTAATTAGAATTTCGCCCAAAATAGAACCCTAATATTGTCTTATTGCGAACCTAATCATTTAAACTAATAACTCATTGACGTAGTTAACTTGTACTTGATTATGATTTGACAAATGGAGCCCTAATATTGCTTCCATTTAAAAAAAAAAAAAAAACATTTCTAACAATGACCAACTCAACGAACTGAATTATGGCCATTACCACATACTGTATAGTGTATACCAACATATCACAAATTCACAACCATAGCCTATTCTGCTAGTATATTTTAAGCTGCTTTGTCAGAATATCAGATTACAGATACACCTACTCTCTCACTTAAACTAAGACATACAACAGAGTAATGGTTAGAGATAATACACAACGGTGAGTACTCTCGAGCCTCAGCCAAAGCGTTTCTTGAATAAGTGGTGTCTCTTGGATGGATCTTTCGGCTTGCTCTTCTGCACATGCCCTCCGGGCCCTTTTTTCCCAGCACTGCATTAAATCGGGAAACACATTGTCACAAGTCAACAAATCATAACAGAGAACTTTAGCAACAAGTTCTTCTCCCTGCTTAAAAAATAAATTCAGCACTTGTATTTGAACTCTCAGGAACCAATACCATAATGGTGAAACGTACTTGTATTCCATATAAAGCATTCCCTTTGCTCCTGACATTGCACTCATAGAACCCATAGAACGTCGAGCTTTCTGAAGGGCTATATCATCTGCATCTTCTTCCAGTTGCTCCAACCCAACTGCATCATCGCCTGCACTTAGTACCTATTGAAAGCAATTAAGGTGAGACTATCTTGTCACAATGCCCAAAAAGAAAATTAAAACAGATACATTAAAAGGTAAAAGAAATACCTTTCCTAGAAGTGCAAGCTGGTCATCAAGATGATGGTAACTCAACTCAGGTCCTGAATCAGGAGGTGGCAAGTTTGTGATCACCTGCAACAAGGGAAAAAGTGTTACACTAGATAAATAATTGAAAATTTCCTTCTACTCGTGTAATGCTCTGGTAGACACCATTACAAACTGGAAAGGCAGATCATAATCTGATAATCACATGCATCTTCATGATAAATAGTAACAACTAATAATGTAATATGCCAAGCCTTGAACACAACTGTGAGTCAAAATGGTTACCTTGAAGCTATACCCTTGATCAATCAGGAACTGTTGTCTTTTAGTTGAATAATACATTTCCTGAATTATAATGGGAAACTTGGGTTATAACATTAATTCTAATTCTGAACAAATTTTTTTTTTTTTAAATTTCAAAACAATGAACATATCAAAATAAAGCACCTGTGTATCTGTCGATACAAGAGAGTAAAAGAATGCATTATACTCCTCTTTACCTCCAGCCATCCTATCTTGAAGACGCCCCTGTCAAATGAGCAAGTGTCTCGAACATTAGAGATCAATTCAGATTAGGAAAGATAAGCCCTACCCTCCACAGGTTCACCCACAACCATAATTTGTTTCCATACAAATTGCTATATGCCTATATGTAAGGCCAATAAAATTAAAGGAATTAATGCCTAATTACTTTGCATAAAGCATTTAGCAAATGAGATAATCCTCTTAAAAAGTGCTTACTAGTAGAGGCTTATGAAATGCTTATCTGCAAACATTGCAGCCAATCACTAAACAAAGACACCACCATTTAGAAGGTATTTGGCAGATAACCTTTAAAGCTAAACAAAATGAGATGCATTTAAAGCAGGGGAATAAATTATGATCACTAAATACATGAAAAATTATACAAAACAATGTATGGTTGTTTAGTAATTGTTAGAATTGAGAATGGGCTGGATTTGACGAAAAAACAGGCAGGAGCTGTGCCCATGAACAAATTGGGCCATAATGCATTTTGTTCAAGCCAATACTAAAGATTGAATCCACTCAATTAGCTAGTTGAACTCATACCATTATAAACCCATCTCTCTCTAATCTTTCAACGTGGGACACTTGAAAAGTAACAATTTTTGTGGAACTACCACAAATAGGACTACATTTGCACATAAGATTGATTGAGTGAAACTAAAAGCCTATTTAGTCACAAACACTGTTTTCTTTTCAAAATTTGTTATGGTTGATTAACCATCTTCATAAAGTTGAGCTCAATTGATAATCCATCTTATATGCAAAGTTGCATAGTTTAAATGTATTGTTGTTAAAACACAACAAAATAACATTGGTTAAATGTACTGAATATATATTACATAGAACATAAATGCAAACCATGCAAAGATTTTATCACAATGACACTGATAATAATAGAAGTGCAACATAGAAGAACCAAACCTTGGCCCTAAGAATACGCCCAAGACGTTGAGCTTCCTGTCGTCTTGACCCGGCATGTGATGAAATTTGTATTATAACATTTGCTTCAGGAATATCAATAGAATTATCACCAACCTACAAATCCCAGAAGCAATTATATTACATGGTAAAGAAACACAGTGAAGACAAGAAAAGGGCTGAATCTACAACAAAATTGATACAAAGAAGATTATCCGGTCTCCATAATCAACAATTGGAAAGATCCATAATTTATCAAAATTATCTAATGAGTAATGATAAAAATGCAATATATACTAGTAAATGTACCTTAGAGAGGAAAATGGTGTTCACTGCCTTGCTAGTTTTAAATGCCTCAAGAATTTTTGTTCTTTCAACATGGCTGCATATTTAAAGAAAATTGCCGTTAAAGTGACGTCAAATCATATGGTATTAAGTCTTTGAAATGATAAATATCCATTACCTGGTAGCACCATAGATCATAGGTTTCCTTAGCTTCATCGCATATTCTGTGAGCGCAAACAGATTGTCAGCAAAAACAATTATCTTATCCCCACGCTGATGTTCATGGAAACGGATAAGAAACTCGCAAGCCCTGAATTTGTTTGGATTCATCACATAAAGTGCCTGTACCATAAATTAGAAAGATGAATGAAGAATGGATGATGAAAAGCTAAATATCCATGGGCATTCCAATAGGATTAAAAGTTTCTCTTTTATTAAATAATAAATAATACCCTCCATCTTATATATCCAGGTCATGCATGCTTGAATAAAGCCACAAATAATATTCTGCTATGCCAAGGATGGTCTTTTCCATATGACACACACAAAATACACTGAGATGTATAACTTGTCATTGGAATTCAAGCTTCACCTTAACCTGAAAATTCTTAACTGCTTGTTATAGAATTAAGTTTTCCCCCAAACTAGGTAGTAAAATAGGCATAAACCTAAAAAGGTTGTTTTCTATTTACGTACTTCTGTTGGTTCTTTTTTGTTTGTTTTTTTTTATTAAAAAAAAAATGTGCATGCATGATTTTTTATGTAAGGGTTAGGTTTAGTCTGACCATAATGTTGTCAGTTTGGACTAACGGAATCACCCAACTTCTTTTATGAATCACAGAAAAGTAGAAAACATAAAAAATTTTGAATTACCAAGCCCAAGTTCCATTAGGAACTGGAACCTTGCACAAATTCCTTCCCAAAATGAGTTTGGTCTACACTAACCCTCTCAAAATTAAATTATGCAAATAATGAGCTCCCTTAGGTTTTGTCTGACTGGCCATGATGCTCTGTTAGTTTGGGCTCACCCAACTTCTCTTATGAATTACAGAAAACATAAAAATTTTGAAATACCAAGCCCAAGTTCCATTAGGAACTTGAACCATGCACAATTTCTTACCAAAAATACGATTTTGGTGTACACTAAACCTCTCAAAATTAATTTCCACAGATAATGAGCTCCCCCACCCCCCGGGGAAATATAAATCCTCAATTCAGAAAAGGTAAATATTAACTCACTGAAATGGAGCAGGTATGGGAAGATCACAAACCTGTTTCTTCTTAGAATTCTCTTTCTTCAAATACTCGGCAAAGAATTCCTTTGTCATAGGACACCACACCTCAGCACACTGCACATTTGCAATAAACCCCCCTTTCACCAAGTCCAACCAGTTCGCTTCATACAACTTGGGGCCAATAAGAAAATTCAAATCAGTGATTCTTTCGTCCTCTCTCACAAGTGTTGCTGGAGGTCAGCAAATCATAAGACTATCTCAATTTCCAATACAATCAGTATAGGTAATATTTGACTATGAAAATAAATCTCCATCCTCCATACCAGTGAGCCCAAGTTTGCAGTGTGACTTAGTAAGGCTAATAACCTTTCGAAACATGTGAGCTGGAACCACATGCACCTAAATGATATCATAAACAAGAGAGTGACATGTTAAATTGCAAGAAATAAATTTCAAACTTGTTACAGTTAAAAAGAGGAATTCCCAAAACGTACTACAAACACACCACAAACAAAATTTCAACACAGAGCACACATGAGCATCATAGTTAATACACTAAGTACAATCAACAGGAAATATCTAAAAAAATCCTATGTAAGTGTTCATTCACCAGAAACATAATTTGAACAAGACATAGATCTCATGATTGCCACGTCACAGCAAATATAAGTTTAGAGGCTATACAGATAGGATTTACCTCATCCATAAGGAGTAATCCCCATTCTCTGTTCCTTATTTCTTCAATGATCTTTTCAGATTCTTCAGAACGTTTTCCATTAAAAGCAACCATGTTATAAGTGGTCACGACAACACCAGCATTACCATGGAACCTTTCTTTGCTGTCAGATGTGAAACGACATATTTGCTCTTCTCGAATAGTTGACCATAACTTGAATTGGAAAGCCCATTGATCCACAGACACAGCATTTGTTGCTAAACAAAGACAGCTTTTTTTTATTCTACAAGCTGCAGAAACACCAACTAAGGACTTCCCTGCACCACAGGGCAGCACAATGATACCTGATCTTGCTCTACCTGAAATGTAAATATTCAACTGATCAGAGAACACTCTTGCCAATTCTCATTTCATCTACAGTTGAGGCAAAGAAGAGGAAGTTGTGCACAAGAAATTCATTTTCATTAGAAAGAACAGAAAGATAGATGTGGGGACAGATGAAGCACATCCTGCATGACAAACTACATGCACAATACCTAAGATCCAACTCTTTCAATTAATTACTAATTCCAATCATCTAGACTGTTATACTCTATATACAATTTGGTAAACCCTGTCAAATTTAGGATGGAAATCTTCAGCAGTCCACCTGCTTTATGATCTACAACTATTCAAATTAAAACCCCCTTTAGATGTAGCCTCATAAGCTCCACTTTGGATGTCACCTCCCTCTATTATGGCAATTCAGTATATCCTCAATGTATAAAAAGTAACCATCCAACATTATTATCACTGATTTTATATGTTCCTGCTGGTTTTATTCCACTCCAATATTTCCATGAACCTGCTTGGTTGCATAGGCTATTATGAAACAAATATCTATGCAAAATCCCCAGCATTCTAGGTTTCAGCTTGGGGTCTGTAAAGATGCAGGAAGAATTCTGTTTAAGGATGCTACATGTAGAAACTTCTCAAGAAAACACATCCATTGATTATCAACCCCAATGTAATCCCACTCATAAACTCTATGGTATGTCATGAATCTTAGGTCATTCACAGACTCAGAAAGAATACATTGGTATTAATGTGTATAGCCATTAACCACCTGTGGTAATAGATATCCTGCAAGAGATTTCCCTCCATTATAGGGACACAAAGTAGTTCTCAGAATCAAAAAGAGCTAGAGATGAATAATTTTGCATAAAAGGTTCCATTTAGGGGTTAGATCCTTACCATTTCCAAACATCTTACTAAGACTCTTTTCTTGATAAGGTCGAGGTTGAGCATGAGGCTTCAACTCCATATCAAGATCAGGATTAACCTGGAATTATCAATGACATTTAATAAAAGACACTGATAATATGTACCTTTACCTTTACCAGATTCCTTTGGAAAAATCAAAGAGCAACTTACTGTATCATTTCTGAAGTCATATTCCTCCAACATTGGATAATTCAGGGCATTTGGCAAGCATCGTTGCTTCACATTTTCAACCTACCATTATAGAGGTTAGTGGATAGATGGTTTTCTCTATAAGGGCATAGAGAAGGAAACATTTTATGCATATAGTAGTACTTTCCCTGTGCTAGTAGTGAATATATATTCCAAGCATATAGTTGCATTCGTAGGTCATCAATAAGTATTTAGCATAGATACGGAAAAAAAAATAATTATTACAAATTTTTCTTAAATTCTTTACACATAATTATTAAGATCCTTGCAGTTAGTGGTATCTAATGCAACATTGAACTGACTTTCATCATGTAACAAATGTACAAAAACAGGATACATATTGGCATATTGCAACAAGAATCACAATAAACAGTTTTGAGATTACAAATTGAATTCTGTGCCACCCCCAAGCCAGGGGAGAGGGATCAATGAGTATAACCATAGTATCACATCAAGTTACCTGAGAAGGATCAATTTCAAATGAATGAGTTTCTTTTTCTTCTGCTGCAGCTGCCAGCTCTGCTTCATTTAACAATTCATCATGCCTACCTTCGATTTCACCCGCAGACTTGCTGACAGTAAATCCATCATTTCCATGAACCCCCTACAAGCATAAAACTTCATATTTTAGTTAATCATGAGATAACATTAAACGTAAAGGACATTCAATATAACAGATCAGCACATGAAAATGATATATCACACACATATGTCAATTTTGTGAAGAAAACTTCATATGTATGTGTAGTTTTATAACAGTGATCCCCCAACTATCCAATTACATTCTCAATAAAAGCAAAGGAAGTGCCATGACAGGTCATATAACAAGTAGAGAGAGCAAGAGATGCTAAAGCAGCCAATTCAATGAAATTATGCACTGACCTCAGATGAAATTCTTGCTCGACCTATAACTTCATCTTCAAGCAACTTTTTCAACACCTGCAGACAAAATCATACTCGTTAGAAACATAATCAATCAAACAAGAAAAAGAAAAAAACAAAACAAAACAATGAGCTAATAAGGAAGCAAAGCAATCTTACCTCAGGAAAAGGAGATTCAATGAAATACCTATTCTTCTTTAGAACAAGCTTCACTTTGCCATAGTTGGCAGTAGAAGCATATATGAAATCAATCATTTCTTTTGGCAGCTTGGTCTTTGACAATTTACTCAAAACAGATATTATAGTTTCAGTCTCTAAACCAACTGACACTGCCGCATACAATGAGTGAGGTGTCAAATTGTATTCATGCATTGACTCCGGCCTATATCAAAACATAGTTATAGACTTAGCAGTTAGCAAACACCATAAAAGGTCATAGGAATACAGCTATAAGTGCCCAACCAATGTTAGACACATTATTTTGTTATGAACGGTACCTGCACACGGGCTCAGCAATGGCTATGAGAAAATCATATGCCTGTTTGTATAATGGAGAGAATGTTTCGAGAAAAATCCGACCATCCGCACAGGCCCATAATGGGCGATTTGCATGATCAGGTTTGAGTTCAAGTTTTGTAAAATCCCTTTTCTTCCCTTCTGTCACGCCAATAATTCAAAACCAATTCCAAAATCACTTTCACTGTATCACTTCTATAGAAATTAAATATCAAATAAAAGTCCATACAAAAAGTACAAGCAACTGCTGATATAAACACTGATAAATACCATCCTGAGAGTCATCATTGATTTCATCGACGTAATATGGTTCATCTTCTTCGACAGACCTGTGTTCCTCCTTAATTCAAAACGGAGAAAAAGAAACTCCATTTTCAGTTTCAATTAACGCAATTACACAGCTGAATAACTAAACAAAACGGAAATATCAATGAACCTTTGAGGAAAACTTTATCTTTTTGCTTGGCCGGCCTTTATCGCCTGAAAACAACGATTTTCACCAAATAAATTTGCATACTGAGCATACTTACACAATTGTATTGAAAGACAATAATCAATTGCTTTTTGCTACTTTTAAGTTATTTTAATTGTCTAAGGACAGATTATTTCTTCGAGAGTATTTACCGTGGCCCATCTTCCTCTATGGTTGAGCTCTATGCACCAGCGGTTGTCAGTTGTTAGAGTTAATTTTAGAACATCAATAGCGGTCTGATAGGAATGTTCGTAGTACTGGAGAAACGGAAATGGCAAACCTGACAGTGGATATAGATTTATGCGACTGAAATCACCGGCTTTAATGGAGATATTGAGCAAAATGTCCAACTACGGGTGGACAAGAGGTCTCTCTGGTGAACGACGATGATCTATTGAGTATGCATCCAAACGCGCCCTAGTCGCGACTCTAGAGTTATATGCGTGGGTTTATGGCGGTGGTGCCGTTTGATAACTTATTGGTCGCAACGTGGCATAGTAGTAACTATTCGTTTTCATATAATGTTTTGTTTGTTTGTTTTTTTTTTTTTTTTGGAAATATTGCTAGTATTTGTCTCATGCGATGCACGGAAAATATGTTATAAAAATATACTCTATATAAGGTTTATTAGTATATAAAATTTTTGTTATTTAATAATTATTATGTGTGAGTTCCTATGATAAAATCTTAGCTACAAATCTTAAATTATATTAAAAATTTAGTACAAAGTATTTAATATTACAAATTTTAAGAACTTAGTAAACTACAATAGTAATTGAATTACAATTTTAGAGTCACCACGGATCAAGAAATTTTTTTTTTTTTGGAGAAAAAGGATTAATGCATTAAATCACGTAAAAGATGTGTTACAAGAAAAGGAGGTGGGACATCAAACCACTCTCCACAACCTGCAGTTGAACTCGCCCCTCTAGCTAATGTGTGAGCGACACAGTTCGCAGATCGTTTAACAAAAAAGAATCTAACATCATCAATCACTGATGCTAATTCTTTTACATCATCAATAAGCAGTCCAAACGTAGAAACAAAAGAAGTTGCTTGTAGGGAAAAATAAACAACTTGTGAATCCAGTTCCACATCCACTCCACCCATACCTGTGTCTTTCAGCCAACTCAGTGCCTCTCTTAAGCATATGGTCTCAGCCTCATTAACTGTAAACGTTCCCCCCAGATTCACACTCTTCGCGGCTAGAAAAGTACCTGCATGATCTCGCAACACCCACCCCAACCTCATAGAATTGGAGTCCGGCAGCACACTAGCATCAGTGTTGAGCTTGAACCGCCCTGCATCGGGTCGTACCCACCTTTCCCCTCCTTTTTTATTGGTCCTGCTTGGTCATGTGAATTTACGGCCATCCACCCACTCTAGAAACTGAGTGCCCGGTGCATCACCAACTCCACATTAAAAGCAACACTGTTCCAAACACTCTCATTACGGCTTTGCCACAAACTCCAACACACCATAACAAACTTTGGTACTAAAAGCCCATGCAAACAAGACAACATAGCAAAAAACCAATCTATGACATTACCATGTGGTACCCCCACGGCTGGCACACCTGCAAGAGTCCTGACACGAGCTGCAGCAGCACATTCCACAAACAAATGATAAGCACTCTCGGGCTGGTGAGCTGTCGTAGGCTCCCAAATTAAAACCTTACAAACGTAGTAGCGGGAGTAAGGATCGATCCCACGAGGAGTAACTAGTTTAAAATATGTGCTCAAATTAAAGGAAGGGGGGTTTGGAATATATCGAGAACAAAGATAAATTGAACGAATAAAGCAATGAAAATAATATATCGAAAACACTTATAATAAGAAACCTTGGTTAGTAAAGATCCACCACCGGAATTCAACACTGATCATTGATTAATAAAGTAATTAATATGCAATTGAATATTTGTTGTGAAATTATTTCATTTCCGTTTTTCCTTAGTTATAGGTAACTAAAGCACACGCGATTTAATTACCCCTAACTACTAAATAACCTAAGACAAGCGCTATAGATTTAATTTAATAGCAGCAATAGGAACTAGGAAAACCGACAAACTAAATAACACAAGCACAAGCGGTTGCATTTAACTTAGGAAAATATTCTACCCGAGTCCAATTATCACTAAGCCGTCAATAATTAACCCATTTGCTACTGAATATTAGAATAATTTGTAGCACAACATTATCTAATATAGCAAATAATTATATCAAGTAAATAACTAGTAGGCCTCCCTAGCAATTAAATGATACAACTATTCAAATAGCTTAGAAGAATATTTAATACCCAAATGCATAAAAATGATATAATAAAAATAAATAAATAATCTTACAGTATAATCAATTCCGGGGCTTCAATTCACTAAACCAAGCTAAAGAAATTAGCAATGAATGGACATTGATAACAGCTTTACAGAATAATCGAGAGGGGAAGAATGAACGTTTTACAATAAAACACGTATACTATTTATACACTTTCTAAATTAACCTAAATCAATTTTAACCATCCGCTCCCTACTTTTCCTCCGCACGTCCGAAGCTTTCCATGAGAATCGCTCCACCATTTCCTCTGACCAACGAATTGAAACAACGTTATATGATATATTATTATTATTTTTTGTTTGTCTAATTGCAATCATGGGACCCACAAACTTAATATATATTAAGTTTCATAATATATATATATATATATATATATATATATATATATATATATATATATATATAAAAGATTATAGTACGTAATAAATATATATATTAGTATTCTATATATTATATATTATATATTATATTAAACATTATATATAAAAAGAACTAATTATTACTTATTAGATAATATTAAATAACTAATGCAAAATTATTATAAAGATGTACCTAAAATATGAGGGTAAAATATGCCTATCACGGGCACACTCCTGCACATATGACACATCAAAGCGCAGTGAATATTCTTTGTTCCTAGGGCATCATTAGTAGGCAAAAAAGAATAAGCCAATTGCCAGCAAAAGTGCTTAACCTTCGGTGGCACCTGCAAATTCCATATCTGAGTCCACGGCCGCACATCATCCATCATACCCTTCAATCGTTTATAACACGATTTAACAGAATACTCGCCCCTCGTTTCCCAAAACCAGTACCACGAATCTCTTGGCCTCCGCTTTGTAATTGGAATGTTCAGAATCAAGCTAGCATCCCGGGCATTAAAAATGGCCCGTATTCGATCCACATCCCATCCTGCATTTTGAGCATCAAACAAAGAAGATACCGGTGAGTTAAAAATCCCTTCATCTACTGGCGTTGTGACAAAAGGCTCATCCTCAGATTGCAACCATGCATGCTTACCAATCACCGTGTCATGGCCATTTCCAATACTCCGCCTACACCCGTCTCGTACCACTCGCTGGACCTCAAGAAAACCCCGCCAAATAAAGGATGGGTTACTCCCCTCCACTGCTTCATCATAGGTGGAATTTGGAAAATACCGGGCTTTATAAACCCGTGCCACCATTGAGTTCGGCCTCATTATCAACCTCCATGCTTGTTTTCCCAGAAGTGCCAAATTAGTTTCATGCAAGGAACGGAAGCCCATCCCCCTACTGCTTTTGGAGCTGTTAAACCTTGCCATGATCTCCACTTACCATTCCCCACAGTTCCTGTCCACCAGTATTCATTCATCATAGTCTCTATATCCCTACAAGTCCCTCGTGGCAACAGGAAAACCATCATTGCATAACTTGGCATCGCCTGAATGACATTCTTAAGAAGCACCTCCCTTCCAGCCCTTGACAAGAACCGTGCATTCCAAGACCTCACCTTGGCTAGGATCTTGTCCTTCAGAAAACCCTGAATCTGTTTTTTCCTCCGTCCTACTATTGATGGGAACCCTAGGTACTTCCTTGCTGTATCCCCCTCAACCACCCCCAATATCTGAGTGACCATAGTCCACTGGGCAGGCTTTGTATTACTTGAAAAACACACCATGGACTTATCATAATTTATCATCTGTCCTGATGCTCTCGAATATATGTCCAACACATATTTCATACAAATAGTCTCGCTTTCATTTACCTGAAGAAACAAGAAACAATCATCTGCAAATAGCAGATGAGAGATCGGTGGTGCTCCCCGGGCAACACAGACGCCATGTAACTTGCCCATACCTATATAGCTATCTATCATAACACTCAACCCTTCCACCACCAGCAAGAACAGAAAAGGTGATAAAGGATCACCTTGACGTAACCCCCTACCTGGCAAGATAGGCCCCAATTGTCGCTGCTCATACAAAATATGATACCTTACAGTTCTGACAGACTCCATCAAAATATCCACCCACCTCCTCCCAAATCCCATCTTAAGCATCACAACCTCGAGAAAACCCCACTCCACCCGGTCATACACGCCTTGCTCATATCCACCTTTAGTGCCACCACCCCTTCCTTCCCCTGAGTTTTCCGTCGCAGATAGTGGTGCGCCTCGTATGCCAACATTATGTTATCTGTTATAAGGCGCCCCGGCACAAAAACACTCTGCGCATGCGAAATAATCCCCTCCATAAACTGATCAAAATTTTTAGACTTTTGAGATTTCTCACTCTAGATGTAGCAACATACAATTGACCTTTAAAGACCAAACAATTATTTATAAATATAAATGACTATTAATCATAATCACCATTTTAAAAAATAATTGTAACAATAATTGCTCACCAAACCATATGGTTATATTATAGTTAAGATTTCAATTATTTTTTTAGAGTTAAAAATGATTTTCAAGTGTTAACATTTACTTTCTTTATCTGGTTTGTCCTTCACTTTTGTGTTCTTTTCCCTTTGATATTTTATAAATAGTTTTCAGGAGTAGTTTTCCCTTTGGTATCTGGTCTGGCATCATTTTTAATGTTATATTATTATTTTTGTTGCAAAATTCACTATTTCCATGTAATTATATGGGTAATGTATCAGATTTTGTTGTATTGCACTAAACATTTTTCTTCACTTGTTTCCTGTTATATATCATATGTTTTTCACTCATATAAAAAGTGCTTGCTAAACTTGCTAAATCTTAACTATAATACCAACATGTAATTAATACCAACATTTAATCATTAATATCAACATTTAATTCACAAGATCATATGAAACTTGCTAAATCTTAACTATAATACCAACATATAATCATTAATATCAATATTTAATTCACAAGACCATATGTCCATATGAAACTTGCTAAATCTTAACTATAATACCAACATATAATTAATACCAATATTTAACTATTAATATCAACATTTGTTTTCAAAAAAAAAATTATTAATATCAACATTTAATTTTCACAAGACCATATTGTTTTATTATAATTAAGATAAGCAATGCATGCTAAATGAGACTAAACTAGATTCTCAGCAAGAAAGTTTTAGAACTATTAAGAATGTCTCTAGAAGTGCACATACCCTTTCGAAGATTATAAGACAATTGATGCTCTTTTGACAGTGCAAGATATGAATTTTGATACAAGAAACTATTTTCTTGACTTTTTTTTTTTTTTTTTTTTGAAAATCTATTTTCTTGACTTGATTTGTTAGATATCAAAGATTACTTGAATCAGTTTATTAATGTAAATATTTTTTTTTTGTTAAGTGTTTCGTAAATTGAACGGTCCATTTATTAGTTAAAAATTTCATTTTTTTTAGATCGGGGCATGAAGAATGTTGGCAAATTATTGTGTACACTATGATCTAAAATGATGTTGTTGAATCTTATGATAGAATAATGTACTTTATGTATTAAAATAATGAAACTTATGAGATAAGATAATACATAATATATTTTATGAGTTAGAATAATGTATATATTATGAATTATAAAAATGTATGTTGTAACATATTGTGTGAAGAAAAAAAAAACATAAAATATCGTTATTTTTAGATCGTGGTTCACACAAACAATCTGAATGATTATGAGATGTCAACGGGATGGGATGGGGGCGAGGGACATACCCCCATCAGTGTCCCCGACTTTCTTCCCATTCCTCGTTCTCGTCCCCATCCCAGTCAGGGAAGCGAAAAAACCCCATCCTCATCCCCACAGAGATTATTCGGGGACAGGGAATCCCGATCCCGTTTATAAGTTATAAAAACATTAAAAATTAAACATTAAAAAATATTTAAATAAATAACGTATATATATTCATCTCCAACTTAAAATAGTATTTAATATTTTATAATTAAATATGTTATATAAATATGCATTTCATAAGCATGACATACAATGACAATAATGTTTCTAAAATTATATATATATTATATATAAAGTAATATATATGTGTGTTGTGTGGTTATATATTCGCGCAAGAAATTCAAAATTACCCTCATTCCCATCTACGTAGGGGCGAAAAATCGAGTTTCCCTTGTATACAGGTATACAATTGACATACTATGCCACCCCTCTAATTTTCTTATGTAATGTTCTGATGGAAGTTCTTGTATAATTATGAAGATTTACAAAACCAGAGAAGCAAAGAGAAGAAAAGGTTCCAAAGTCCAACGTTCGTTAACGATATCTCAAAGATGGAGGCCAACGAAAAACGCGCGACTTCTTCATGCAGCGTTGCTGCAGCAGCGGTGGACGGCGGCCTGGTTATCTTAGCCAACGAAGCAATTCATTCATTTCTCGCTGCATCTACCCAGGACACTATCCTATCTCAAGACCTGAGAGACCTCGCCGCCTCACTCTCTCAGCGAGCCTGCGTGCCCTACAGAGCTCTGCGATCCATCTGGATTGGATCCAACCCGTCGGAACGACCTGAACTCGCCTCCATTCTGTGTGGATCCGGATTTGCGTTCTCAAGCCCCCAGCCGCGAAAGAAGAGCGAGGAATTGATGGCTCGACTACGGAAGCTGGCGGAGGCATCCGAGAGGAAAGCTTATGAGGAATTGGTGAAGGACATAACCCCCAAGAAGAAAGTCCAAGAGCCTTTCTCTTCTTACAAGGATCAATTAGGCTTCGGTGAGCTCCCACGTCCTCCTTCCCCAACCCCCCAAATATGTGTATATATCTATCTATCTATTTAATCTATATTCAAGTATAGCATCTGATACAATATGGAATTTTAGCTCTCGTCTATATAGTATTTTAATGGAAAATTGTGTATGCTTAACCATAATGCAAATTTTGATCATAAAGATGTGAAATTTCTCAATGCGGTTGGTAATTTTTCTGACTTGGGATAATGCTGTAAGATACATCTTCGTGGCTCTAGAACTTAACTACTGTAATCTTAATTGGAGACGGTGACATGTTGAAAAGTGCTAAAATGATTGTGGTGAGAATCCTTGTTGAGGTTCATTCAACTTTAAATAGGTAATGTTAAGCCATTCATCTATTGGACTATTGGTTGAGTGTGAAAAAAGACTAGAAGTAGGAAAATGCAGTCTTGGATTGATTTAGTCTGGAAGTTGGATAATAGAGAAAAAAAGTGATCTATTTGTGTTTTACAGTGCATCTATTTTATTCGTATGTTTGAAATTCATTTTGGGATGGTTCTAGGACTGAAGAAAGTAGTTCAGTCAACAATGTCATGAAAGAACTCAACATTTTCATTTTCCCACTTGCCATTTATATTTTAGATGGTGAGCAAACATCATGCAAAAGTATTTGAATTTTGGGAGTTCATTCTGGGTTCATATTTATTACCTCATGGAGGATATGATGATTATGATCAGATAAATGAGGGGAATTTGGCTCTAATCAATTCTATGGCATAACTCTTCTACACAAGTGTCCTGGGAGAAACACCATGCCACTCTAATTTTTGAACTCATGTATGTTCATAATCTGTCTCTAGATGACGGATGACCACCTTTGGTGACTGTCTACTGTTGGTACTTTCACAAGTTCTATTTCATTCATATAAGCTTTTGCTGTTGTAGACTTGTAGTATAGATCATAAGGTCATTACCCCTAACCATTGGATTTTCAAACTCCTTTTACCAAGATTCATTACTTTCTGTATATTTACTTCAGCAACACACCAAATTATAAATAAAGCAGCAAAAGGAGCATTAGGGTTCCCTGCAGTTTTTACTTTTGATCGCAGCTGCTTTCTCAGACCAATCCCTATCTTTTCACTTCCATGTCAGAAGTCAAAGATTGTATCCCATGGTTTAACTAGACCAATACATACTTTCCAGCTTCAGCACTGAATTTCCTTGGAGTTTTGTATGTCTAATAGTAGAAAACTGCTTGCAACCCCCTCTTGAATGACTCGGTTTGGTGCATCTGAGACAGGAAAGGAGTCAAAGAAAGTGACCAGGATGCTCTTACTTTATTTTTTATTATAGAGTATTTGCACTGACCTATTTCACTTGAACAGTTTGATCTTTGAGAAACCGTGGAACTAAGGATCTATCCCTGCCCTTGGGATCAGGTTTCAAGGAGGGAACAAAATCCTTTTTTTAATGACATTCAAAGTTGAGAACAATGTTTTAGTTATTTACTTATTTGTAGATTGACTAAATTATGTGAGCATCTGTGTCTTGCTATACGGCTTAATTTATGCCCCCTTTCAATTTGTAACTGCCTTGTATTTTTCAGCATCAGCTTAAGAGAATTTTGTTAATGTTAATCAATTTAATTTTCTAAGTGCTATCTGGTTAATTGGCAGGCATACACGTTGTGCTTATGATGTTTGCTGGCTTTTTGGTTGGATATGCTGCATTCAAGGCTTTATTTAGTCACAGTCCTGCTATGGTAACGTAAATGAATTTGGAGCACTTAATAACTGATCACCACTCGCCTGGAGTTTGCACATCATAGCCTGTTAATTAATTCTTGTTTGGTATAATACTATAATTGACACCACTCCTATTCTATTTTCAGAGTGCTGCTGGTGGCATCCTTGGACTGGTTATTGGCATGCTTGTAGAAACACTTCTTTTCATTGTTAGAACTACTAGTCTAGATCGAAGATCCACTTCTTTTGTTTCTAAGACAAAAAAGAGTCAGTAAACTTCACCATAAGAGGTTAGTTCTTTCTACTTTTTGGCTCTACCATTTGGAGCACTTCATATTGTATTTTTGCCATTTTTTTGTACTGTAAAATTTGTCTAGATGTTTGTTAATGATGATAGGCTCAACTTATTCGCCATTACCTATGAGGCCTTCACTTGAAAAGAGGTTATCATTTGCAAAGTTTATTTGGTATTTACAGGAGGGAACATCTTTAATCAGGAAGAAGGAAGTAAGGAACCCCTCTTCTTGTCTCATAAGAAAGGATTTCAATTGTTTGGTTTTAAAACTAGGCTGTGAATCTGTGATTAAAAATGGTTCAAGTACAAAGTTGTTTAATAAACCTTGCTTGCATTTGAACCACGTAGCTAATGAATCTTTGGTTGTGGCATACATGGGAAAGAGCATGTTTGGATCTAAAGTACTCTTTAAATTTCAACCATAAATTTTAATTCTTCATCTATTTCAGTTTCAAGTATGTTCTACTGTCGAAATTGGGTACCATTATCTTACAAAGGATTTGTACATTTCTAAAGAGATTGGATTTTGTTGCACTGTTATTTCATGTTTGTCTTTTCCAATAAATTACTCTGGCAGTTGAAGAAGGAATAGAGTAGCGTGAATATGAAAGCTCTAAAGATGATAATTTGCATTTGTTATGTCTCTGGGACTGCTTTTGTTGCACTGTTTTCTATATTGGTCAATGTTTGATGTGTGCATGCGGTCTTAGAACGTAGAATTGAATTAACTTTGTATGTCATATTATGCCAGAGCAATCTGTGCAAGAATTGTAAAAGGTTTGATCATTTTGATAGGGAGTGTTCTAGTGTGAAAATTTGTCACAACCCAAGACCTTCCTGGGTATGTAGCTTGAAGACTTCTTTGCTAATTAGTCATATTTTAGATAACTACTAACTAGGCATGTTGTTAGAGATTGCCCAAAAGATAGAAGATGGTGATTCTGGCCATCATGAGTCAATATTAAAACTCCAGAGAGTGACAAATGAAGAAATATATGTTGCTCCAGGAGTTATATTATCCATATTGCAAGCTGAAGAGGGCACAAGATTTGTCAAGGAATGGAGGAAGTATCTCAGATCAAGAGGCAAGAATTATGAGCGATGCTCCTTCAAGTTGTGTACAAAGTTTTTTGAACAACCATTGATTTTCTTTTATGTATTCCCATGTGGTGTGGAGTATAAATATACTCTACAACTTTTTTTTTTTTAGAACTTCTTATTTATTTATTGTTTCGAAAATGATGTCTACAAGAAAGACTTGTGATAAAAAGGGTCCTCTAAGAATTTCTGTAAAAATTAAGGTATCAATGTTCTTTAATTTTTCTAGTTTTAGTAAGCAACTTTGGCTTTGCATAAAAAACATAAATTGGAAGTTGGAACATGATTATCGGAAAGGTACAACTTTCAAGTTTGATTATTGTACCAAATGTTACAAGTTTAAATCTTGTCAACACCATTTCAGTCAAGCTATTGTTGTTTATAAGCTATTCCGTAAGTCCGTATTGCATACGAGAGTTTGTTGCGAGTTATTACACAATAATAGAATTTATTATGTGTATATCTTCAAATAGTGGTTGCGGATTATCATTGTTATTATATATATATATATATATATATATATATATATATATATATATGTGTGTGTGTGTGTGTGTGTGTGTGTGTGGGGGGGGGGTGGGGGTGGGGGTGGGGGGGGGAGCAAAATGTTGTCATGGAATAACTTTACCCTGCGTAAACATTTTTTGTCTAAATAATTTGATTATGAATTAAATCATTATACTCCGTATTAAATTGTCTGATACGGATTTTCGTATTTGCTTATTACAAATGTATTTTTTTAAACTTTAAATTCAACGAGTAAATTCACCATTGTTTGTTTTGATTTTTACTTTATTGTTTATACTTTGTTATTTGTTATGTTAACGGCGGATGATACCAACTTTTTGACTTGTAAATTATAATTATATAATTATTTATTATAATGATTTTTTTAATATTTATAAATTTAACTATGTTTGGAAAAATTTATAGTTTATTTTAAACTATAAATAAGTTAGGTTCGATAAAGTATAAAGAGATTAAAATAATAATTTATTTTAAAATGTTGCCTTAAATAACATTTCAGGATGAGTTAGTAACACTGACATTGCTATAGATTCTTAGTTAGGCTACATGGGGATGGGTTGGGTTATACGAGAGGATGCTGTGCAGTTTATAGCAGCTAAAGGAACTCGGGTTTGTGGTTTATTTGGAGTTGCAGAGGCTGAAACTTTTAACATCTGAGAAGCTCTGAGTTGGCTCAAGGATCGTAACATGGGTACTGTGGATGTTGAGACTGACTCTCAACTAACTTATTATGCTTTGTTGTCTGATCATTTCTTCTCATCTTTTGGTTCTGTGATTTCTGATGTAAAGGAAATTGCATCTCAATTTTATGATGTGGTTTTCTATTTTGCAGGCGATCTACGAATCGCGCTGCTCATGCGATAGTTAGGCAAGCCGTTTCTAGGCCAGATTGTGAGGAATGAATTGACCACCTTCCTTGGTTTCTTGTAAATATTTAAGTGTTGATATAATGAATTAAGTTTTACCTCTAAAAAAAAAAAGAATGAGTCAGTAACTATCATTTTTTAAAGTTTAAATTAACTTATAAGTTATGTATGCGAAATAAATGAAGGCATCACTGGTCCAATCTGGCTTGTGTACTCTAGCGCATTGCAGTTTTTATTGAAGGCTGGATGTTTTAGTCTGCGTCTCTGCGGTCCGCCCGCCCCGCCAGTTGCTATAAACTTTTGACGAAAAGTCGAAAAAACAATCGCAGATTTCCATTTCACTGGTTACGCTCTTGCATCAGCTTATTGCTTCCCCTTTCTCCCCGCCGGGAAGCTCCAGTGGAGTGATTCGAGAGATGAGCGGCCACGATTCCAAATACTTCTCTACCACGAAGAAGGGTGAGATCCCCGAGCTCAAGGAGGAACTCAATTCTCAGTACAAGGTCACCTCTCTCACTGCTCTCTAACATTCATTCATCCACAATACATATGCGGACATGTATATTGCGCTTGAGTGAACTTGAATTTTTGACGTGATGTTGCTGTGCGTTTGATCTCCATGAACTGCGATGTTGATTGAATACTTTTTTTTTTTTCTATTTTCCGTGGTGATTTAGATTAGCTGCGGCCAGATCTACCGGTGCTTTAAATTGAATCGGTCAAATGCATAGTTTGAAGATTTGGATTAATTTATCGATCTGAATAATTGAAGTGGCTCCCTTCCATTTTTTTTTTTTTTTTCAGATTACAGTTTTATTTTGTGAGGACGTTTAAATTTAGTGGCATAGGAATTGAGGAAATTATGGAAAAATTGGAAATGTGTTGCATTTGTCTACTCCGTTTTAATTTGTATACTTAGTTGGGTTTATAGTGATGTGAATTTGATGAAAATTTAATGAAGGAACAAATCAGCAAATTGAAAAGTTTTCGAATTTGGTTTCTGAAATTCAACTTATTAGAGATAAGCTAGTAGCCTAGTACTCAAATTCATTTCATCTTTCATGAGCTTACTGGTTGTCATTTATTCCACATCGTAAGAGGTTGGACAAATCCAAATTGCATTAGATGTCATGGCAATCAATCTACTAATGTGAAACCAGTTCATGATATTCAAGTGCTTTTTCCTTACATTTTTAATGGGTTTCAGGACAAAAGAAAAGATGCTGTCAAAAAGGTGATTGCTGCTATGACCGTTGGCAAGGATGTTTCATCTCTATTCACAGATGTTGTGAATTGTATGCAAACAGAAAATTTGGAGCTCAAGAAGCTAGTTTACTTATATCTTATCAATTATGCTAAAAGCCAGCCTGACCTTGCAATACTTGCTGTAAATACATTTGTGAAGGTAGGAAACCTTGATTCTCAGTTCACCCAATGCTATCACTTCCATTGGAATATTCAAAAATGGGAAAAATTTACTATTATGATGATATGACAAATGAAAAGTACTAGTGAAAATTGAAAAGAAGTGGAAGTTTAAACATTCACGGGAAATTTAGGCGTTAACATATTCAGGATATTTTTATTCTATTTTTTGAAAGGGAGAGGAAGAGGGTTAAGGAGTGAAAACTGAAATCTAAGCTTTCACTGGAAATTTATGCCTTGTGTGTGTAATATATTTGGAAGGGGGGAGGAGAGGGAATTAAGTGGTAGTGCACAAGTTATGAGTTGCAAGGATTAAGGATGTGAAGAAAGGCATGTGATAGCTATGTTTAATTGGTTCCAGTAGCTATATGAGAGAGACAGCGAATGATTTATTCAGGTTTATTATTAAATGCGGGAGCACACTATCATTGTTTAGTGATACAAATGTAATATATGGGGTATAATTTATTAAAGCAAGAAAGATGAAGAGAAGCAGCTTCTACTTAGAACTTTATGGACATGGGTTTTAGGTTTGATTGCATCAATATTCTTAGAACATTCTCACAATCTCACAGCTCAGCATTATCAAATTCAACACAGATTATTAACTTTAATCTTCCATTGAGCTCTCTTTTATTTCTAAATACACAGTTTTTGCCATAGATTTATGAGTGATGGATCAATCTGGATACTCTCCATTCTAATAATTGATGCAGATGTAGACTTATTATTGGTTATTTTTCAAGTAATGCTTTTAAAATCACCATAGTGTGTTGTTACACAGTTTGTTTAATGGCATAGCAAACCTTACTCATAAATCTATTCAACACAGAATATTAATTTTAATCTTCCATTAAGCTCTCTTTATTTTTAAATACAATGTTTCTTCCATAGGTTTATGAGTATTGGATCAATCTTCATACTCTCCATTATGCTAATTGAAGTTGATGCACACTTGCTATTCGCTATTTTTTAAGTAACGTTTTCAAAATTACCTTAGTGTTGCCACACAGTTTGTTTAATGGCATAGCAAGGAATTACCATATCGTGAGCATTTCTGCAGGATTCTCAGGACCCAAATCCTCTGATTCGTGCTTTGGCTGTACGGACTATGGGATGCATTCGTGTTGACAAAATCACTGAATATTTATGTGATCCCCTTCAGCGGTGTCTCAAGGTCCTTTTTAGTTTTCATTTCTAGTTTAGAAGTTAAATCTTCCATGTTTGATAAAAAATTTTATTTTTATTTTTTTGCATATTATGGCTCTAGGAAGATGACTACTTAAATGGATTGAGGTTTAGCTAAACAATGCCATTTCCTTTCATTTTCTTTTCATCAGGATGACGACCCTTATGTTCGAAAGACAGCAGCTATATGTGTTGCTAAACTTTATGACATAAATGCTGAGCTTGTTGAGGATAGAGGTTTTCTGGAAGCTCTCAAGGACCTCATATCTGACAACAATCCTATGGTTGTTGCAAATGCTGTTGCAGCGCTTGCAGAAATTCAAGAGAGCAGTAGCAGACCCATCTTTGAGATCACCAGCCACACACTATCAAAGCTTCTGACTGCTCTAAATGAATGCACTGAGTAAGTTTTTTACAATTGTGGTGGTATCCGTATTTTTACAGCTGAAAAAGGACTGTGTTATCGTTTCACATATAATGATTTTGGCTACTGAGCTTGTTCTACTACTAGTTATTGACATAGATCTTTTAGCAATTTAACTAGATAAAACAAACAACTTATAAAAAAGAAACAAAAAAAAAAAAAAAGCAAAAAACAAAAAAGAAGATATTAAGTCTAGTACTTGTTTTCTCTCTCTCTATTACTGAGAAATAAGGATCATGCATGTAGGTGGGGTCAAGTCTTTATATTGGATGCACTTTCCAAGTACAAAACAACTGATGCTCGTGAAGCTGAAAACATTGTGGAAAGAGTCACTCCACGACTACAACATGCAAATTGTGCAGTTGTGCTTTCAGCTGTTAAGGTGATATTCTTTAGTATTTGCGTGATTAATTTACTATTGTTTTTCTTATTATTGCCGGTATCTTAATTCTGCCCTTTTGTGTATATTGTTTGTTCAGTATGAATGAAAATAGAAAGCCTAGATTCCCCTGCTTATTCAAGTTTCAACAGTGATTATGAAATAATTTGTGTCTGTCTTTTGACTTTCCTCCCATTTTGTAAAGGATATCTTGCTCACTTCATCTTTTTATGGCAAGGCAGATGATTCTTCAACAGATGGAACTCATCACCAGCGCTGATATTGTTCGAAATCTTTGTAAAAAAATGGCTCCTCCTCTTGTGACATTGCTTTCTGCAGAACCTGAGATTCAGTATGTTGCATTAAGGAATATAAACCTCATTGTACAAAAGCGGCCTACAATTCTTGCCCATGAAATTAAGGTTATGTGGTTTACTATTAGCAGCTGTATCTCACTACTTAGCATAAACACATAGTGCTTTCTGTAATAGTCACTGGAATAAAGGTGTTCTTGCAACATCATTTTTACTTTTCCTGTAGGTGTTCTTTTGCAAGTACAATGATCCTATTTATGTGAAGATGGAAAAGTTAGAAATCATGATAAAGCTTGCATCAGACCGAAATGTAGACCAGGTCAAGATACTTCCTTTAAAATTAGTCTGCTTTCTTCTAAGAGTTTTGTTTTTGTTGTGTTTTTTTCTCAATAAATGCTCCTTTGCAGGTTCTCTTGGAGTTCAAGGAATATGCTACTGAAGTAGATGTTGACTTTGTCAGGAAAGCTGTCCGTGCTATTGGACGCTGTGCCATCAAATTAGAGAGAGCTGCTGAACGTTGTATTAGTGTCTTGCTTGAGTTGATCAAAATTAAAGTGAACTATGTTGTTCAGGAAGCTATTATAGTAATCAAAGACATCTTCAGAAGATATCCTAATACGTATGTTTCTAAATCATGTTTTCTAGATTATATACCATTGAGTAATTATTAATGCTATCTCTTTCCTTTTTCCTTCAGATATGAGTCCATCATTGCTACACTTTGTGAGAGTTTGGACACTTTGGATGAGCCAGAGGCAAAGGTACTGTTTGGCTCTTTTAAGATTTTCACCTTTTAGGATTGGATTTTTACTTCAAAAACTATGTACTTTTTCAGGTTTCTAACTTCTTTATTATACTTCAAAAACTATGTACTTTTTCAGCTTTCTAACTTCTTTATTAGTGACAGGCATCAATGATCTGGATTATTGGTGAATATGCTGAGAGAATCGACAATGCAGATGAACTCCTTGAGAGCTTTTTAGAGAGTTTCCCTGAGGAAACTCCACAAGTCCAGTTGCAGTTATTGACAGCAACAGTCAAACTCTTCCTTAAGAAGCCAACTGAAGGCCCGCAACAGATGATTCAGGTATTTCTTATTGCCTTGTGCTGTATGGTAAGGGGCCTTTACATGGTCTTTTGAATTATGGTTTTACTGATTTTGACTTTGGCCTTACCACTGGCATTGTTTTGTGTTTCAAAATTCTACCTTTGGACTATCTTCCTTGAGCATCACTATCAGTTATTAACTGTTTGTGGACCACTGTGTATCTTACTTTCTACTGAATTTGGCTTTGGTTTGTTTATGGAAAGCACAGGACGGCTATAGAAAGTAACCACTTCTTAACTTTGTTGTTGGCACATGTTTGCCTAAGTGTCATGTGAGCAATGTTGCATATTAGATATTTAAGAACTACTGTTGTTTCAGGCACATGTGCAAATGCACTCCTTATTCCCTCACAAAGTTTAAAATATTTTGTTTTATTTACGGTTTCATGAAATATGGTTAATATTGTTTAGTTTATTATACTGACAGATTTGCTTACTTACACTCTTACTTTTATTGCTACCCTGTAATCCAATGGCACTTCAGAATGTACATTTTGGTTTATAAATTGCCAACTTGGAAGTGCAAGTCTGGTTTCTTTGTAGGGGAGAAAGATGCATTACTATTTCAATATAATAAAATTTATTAAGTATTTTATATGATTCCAATTATAGGTTGTCCTGAACAATGCCACTGTGGAGACAGACAATCCAGATTTGCGAGATCGTGCATACATATATTGGCGTCTTCTTTCTACTGACCCTGAGGTATGCATGGTTTTCTATCCGTTTCTACAGCTATGATTTACAAACCCCTCTTCTATGGTACTATATTATTGAAACATTATATGCTAACTTTGAGCTCAGATCCTCCTCTATTTCAGAAACAGCATTATCTATCAAATTTCTGTGTTATTAAATTAGAAGTTTTGGTTATTCCGTCTCTCATCATCCCTGATGTTTAAACCTTTTGTTGGAGATTTTTAATGGGAACTTCCATTTTCAATTTTTACTAATGAGGCCACGCCAAGTGGTTATGGTTTAATCTTTTAGTCACAGTAACATAATTCATTAATCTGAATGGACTTTAGTCCCATATGATATCTACTTAAAGATGGCTTGTTTCATATCTTGCAGGCTGCAAAGGATGTTGTGTTAGCTGAAAAGCCAGTGATCAGTGATGATTCAAACCAACTTGACCCTTCTCTCCTTGATGACCTTCTTGCGAATATTGCTACTTTATCTTCTGTCTATCATAAGCCTCCAGATGTATTTGTTACTCGTGTGAAGACCATCCAGAAAACAGAGGAGGATGAGTATCCTGAGGGGACTGAAGCAGGGTATTCTGAATCCTCTGCTCATCCAGTTGATAGTCGTGCTTTATCTGCAGCTTCTTCAAGTAATGCTCCTCATCCTGCCACAAGGCAGTTGACTACTACCAAAGCTGCAGCTCCATTAGCCTTGCCTGACTTGCTTGACCTGGGATTGGAAAGTAACAACAGTGCTATTGTGTCTATTGATGAGCCTATAATGCCAACTGGGTATGCATGTTTAGTATTATTAGATTAGAGATTGAAGTCATGAACTAAGTAAGATTGGGCACAGTCAGAGGCTTAACATCTTGATATTTTTAGTCATCTCTTAAAACACTTTAATAAATGAATTCAGAAGCCTTTTACATTTCAGGAGTATTATATTTCCGGAAAATTGCAAATTTGGATGATAATGCTCATGAGTGCTGACTTTGATTGCAGACCCCCTTTGCCTGTTGTATTACCAGCATCTACTGGTCAAGGTTTACAAATCAGTGCGCAGCTGACGCGTAGAGATGGCCAGATCTTTTACAGCATGTTGTTTGAGAACAACTCCCAGATTCCACTAGATGGATTCATGATTCAATTCAATAAGAATACATTTGGGCTTGCTGCTGCTGGACCACTCCAGGTAAATGATATTCAATAGAATGCTTTATTTTCCAATTCTAACATCGAAATTTCAACATTCTTGATGGGATACCTTTCCTTATGTCTGGTTTGAGATGTTGATGAGTTTAATTTTGATAGGTATCGCAATTGCAACCAGGGGCATCTGCAAGTACTCTGTTGCCCATGGTTTTGTTCCAAAACATTTCTCCAGGTCCTCCTAGCACCCTTTTGCAGGTTGCTGTGAAAAATAATCAACAGCCAGTGTGGTACTTCAGTGATAAGATCGCGTTGCATGTATTTTATTCCGAGGATGGCAAGATAGAGCGTTCCACTTTTCTTGAGGTAAAGTAAAGTTTGTCAAATCTCAGTGTATGCATTACATGACAAGATATGAATTCATGGTATAAGATAATTATGCCTCGTACTTTGGTCCCTCTTACAAGAGGGAATTCTAAAACAGCACATAACAGTATAATTGATAACAAGTTCCAACTTTTGGAGCACAGTTTTTAAGCAAGTTTGATTTTTAAATTATTACTCTGTTATTTATGTGTACTAATTTCAGTAATTTGTATTCTGAAGCATATATTTTCTATACTAATTATCTAATTAGTAAATATGCTCAATTTATTTGGTTTCAACAATTATTCAAATGTCATTTGAACTTCTGTACTGTTTGTTCTGTTATGTAATAAGTACGGAGGGTTATAAATCTTTTGCTGTCTATTGTGCGTGCAGACATGGAAGTCGTTGCCTGATTCAAATGAGATATCGAAGGACTTCCCTGAGCTGGTCATAAACAGTGTGCAGACCACCCTTGACCGATTAGCAACATACAACATGTTTTTCATTGCCAAGCGGAAGAGTGCTAACCAAGACGTGCTGTATCTTTCAGCGAAGATTCCTCGAGGGATTTCTTTCTTGATTGAGCTCACAGCCACCATTGGAAGTCCTGGTCTCAAGTGTGCAATCAAGACTTCTAACCCTGAAATGGCTCCTCTTTTCTTCGAATCTTTCGAGCCTCTATTCAAGAGCTGATAATGTGTCTTCTCCGCATCCTTTTTTCTTTATCATTTGTTTGGCTTTTCTTCTTCTGAGTGGGTCCTCAATTTTCCTTTTGTATGATGCTTAGCTTAGTGAACTTCCTACTCGCAACCCCTTTCAACTCTTTCAGTCCAATTTTATTCATTTCAAACATTTTTAGGAATTGAATTTTTGTAGGCCTCATGCAAAATGTTATTGTATTAAAAGTTTACCCTTGAAGTCCCTAATTTATTTTGTCAAAAATTCATCAAATTTGATTGGAGGAGTTCAACTACCATCTTATATTGCACACACTTTGCTATTTGAATTAACCCTTGATGTTACTTCTTTGATTAGCGGTACCCAAATGTGCGTTCACTGGTTCAAATTGAGAAGGTTAATAAGTAGTTTTTACAAGGAGTCGAACTCGAACTTGAAATCTTGTGATATTAAATCAAATGTTATATCAACTTGGTTAGAGTTGTCTAACATTGATAATATTTTTTTGTAATTTCAGTGAAATAAAATTAATTGGTAAAGTTAGAATTGGTGTCTAATATTAAACATAAATTATTTTATTTAGACTTTTATGGTTAAACACAATGTTCTGAGTTTATTATGCAATTAGTTATTCAAAACTCAATTCATTCAAGTATGTTAGAAGAATTAAGGTGTTGAGGATTTATTTTCAAAAAAAAAAAAAAAAGGTGTTGAGGATTTTGTAAGAAATAAAAACTAGAAAATTAATGGTGAGTTAGGGTGTGTTTGGGGGCAATTGCAGGCTTTAGGTTCGGGTAGTTAATCTTGTTGGCATTTCAAGACCTTAGAGATGTGTATTTATTTTTCATATAGAAAAAAAAATGGTATTTTTTCAACAGGGCCAAGAGAGATATTCAGATATCCATTATCCATATTGACGAGCATCTCGTGTAAACCCGTTTTCCTTAAAAAGCCTACTCCGTCGGAGATAGTTGCTCGGAGCTTTAACTCATTCGGACTCGATCACGTTCAGGTTTCTCTTCTTCTTCAAATCTCTTATTCATTTCTGCTCTAAGCTTCTTCACAGACTTCGCGCCATCATCAAGCACAGGAATTGTCTCTAATTTACGGATTTCTCTATTGTTTCTGACTCGTAAATTGTTTACATCTTTTTCTCAGAGGCGATGGCTTATACCAGAGTTGAGAGGTGTGTGCTTCATGTCTCTAACAATTTTGGTTTTGAATTTTTTGTCCTTGGAGAAATATATATGATTCCGAGTTTTCAAAATTGCGTATGTATGTATCGCAGGCCTGCTTCACCGCCCAAGTCGGCATCCCCAGTTAAAGGTCGTAGGTCTAGGTCGAGATCGAGATCGAGATCATTATCAGCCCCGAGGAGAAGCCGCTCAAGGTATTATTGCTAATAACTTTTACAATGTTAATTGTGTTTAAGCTGTTTGTGTATTAGTGCGTTGAATGTTTCTATAAACGAATTTTGCATAGAATACTTCTCAGGAGATACCATATAGGTAGAGCTTTACTGTATGGAGGAACTCCAGTACCTATATCTGGTTTATTTAATTTTAAAGGCCATTGCGTTTAGGGTTTATTTTTAAAGCTATTACTCTTTCCCCTATCTCACCCTTATGATTCCCACTATTCATGGCAGCTTAGCTGACTAATTCCTGGCCCAGCCACATGAATGAGAACCAACAAGAGCCTTACTCTTGTCAGAGTATCATCCCCCAATTCCCTCGAACATGAAGCCCTCCAACTTCTCTTGGATGCCCTGCCCCTCATCATATTGTTAACCATTTTCAGCTGCATGATCAGGACCCTTCCTCTCTCCTCCAGCTCACTGCACCACCACCGATGCCACTGGATACTCCTTAGGCTAGTTACTACACTTTGTGTGGGAGGTCAAACGCATTAGGGCGTTAAAACTGTTTTTTTTTTTTTTTTTTTTTTTGGTTTGTTTGTTAACAAAACCTAAATACAAAGAAAACTACGAATTCATGGGAGTTAAATTTTATGTCAAACACATTTCCCAAATGTATTTGTCACTAAAACATTCTTTGGCTCAAATGCATTGGCCTAACTAATTTTGCGTATTTGTGTCTATGGTTCAAAATCTGACATTTTTGCCCCGGCGCTAACTATTTTCAATCAAAAATCCCCCAATACCTAACATGATGATTTTAGATGGAGTAGTGGAATTAAAATCTGCAGGGGTCAATAGTTATATGCACTATATACTTCTGTTCAATCAAAAATCCCCCAATACCTAACATGATGATTTTAGATGGAGTAGTGGAATTAAAATCTGCAGGGGTCAATAGTTATATGCACTATATACTTCTGTTCAATCAAAAATCCCCCAATACCTAACATGATGATTTTAGATGGAGTAGTGGAATTAAAATCTGCAGGGGTCAATAGTTATATGCACTATATACTTCTGTGAGCTGATTGCATCCTTGCAGATGCTATATGCATGTGTGGCATTTAAAACTTGGGAGTAGTTACTTTCCTTAGCCATTTCATGTGAAACCTAAAACTTTATTACTCCAGGAGCCGTGATACTGAAGCTGCTTCCAATCCTGGAAACAACCTGTATGTGACTGGCCTATCAACAAGGGTTACAAGTAGTGATCTTGAGAAGTTCTTTAGCAGTGAAGGGAAGGTATGCCCCCTTAATATTTGAGCCACAATTGGGTAAATTACCTTTGTTCTTGTTATGAAAGTAAAGAGAAGATTTCTGAATATGTTGTATATAGGAAAAGAGAATACATAACCCTATAAATACATGTTAGAAGACTTATAATAAGGAAACAAGTTTCCATATGACTACCTACTCAAATCCCTATAAATCTCCAAGCTGCCTAATATATGTAGGTTCCATATTACTTGTACATTCCATAGCACTCCCCCTCAAGTTGGAGCTAGATATTAATCATGCCCAACTTGTTACACAAATAACTAACTCAAATCCCATTTAGGACACTCCCCTCAAGCGAAAGCTTTGGATGCCACCAAAGTGGACCGAACAAGCGGGTGATTGGACGCCACCAATACCATGAGCAAACACCGGGTGAACTCAAAGTGAACCAAACAAGCTTGGATTGGACCCTCCCCTGAATTGGAAGCTTGGATGCCACCAATACCACAGGCAAACACCAGGTGAACACAAAGTGGACCGAACAAGCTTGGGATTGGACCCTCCCCTGAACCGGAAGCTTGGATGCCACCAATACCACGGACAAACACGGGTGAACACAAAGTGGACTGAACAAGCTATGGCTCACAAAGTGAAGAAGACAATCTCCAAAAAGGAGGACACAATTTCTTTACCAACGTTAGGGAAGCATGCCCCAAACGACAATGAGCATCAAAAAGGGGTGACAACACCAAAACAAGCAACGGACTCCAACTTAGCAAACTCATCAGCAGAGATCAAGACCGACTTGGCAGATGTATCAAACTTATTTTCAGCCATATCCAGACAGAAAAAAAAAAGGATCACAAAGTACACAAAATTCAAGCCTGAATGTGTACGAGACAAAGTGACCGTGAAGCAAAAAATCAGTGACAACGCAATAGTCCAAACCAAGTCTAGATCCGAGGCAAACAGACTCAGACGACCCAGGAGCAGTTGACCAAAACGTTTTCCGGTCGCTGGAGGACCCTCACGTGCCGGCATGTGAGGCTCATGCGCTGGTCAAAACGTCGTCGAAATTTCTAGGCGAGGTCTCCGTACCCCGGTGCTCGCGCTCCTCCCTAGGTCAGCGGTGATGACAACGGACTGAAAAAAAAATTATCGTAAAGGCTCATATACCATGTTACGAAAGTAAAGAGAAGATTTATATATGCTAGAAGACTTCTAATAAGGAAACAAGTTTCCATATGATTACCTACTCAAATCCCTATAAATCTCCAGGCTGCCTAATATATATAGGTTCCATATTACTTGTACATTCCATAATAGTTCTAAAAGAAAAAGAGACTGCCTAGCCTTAATGAGTTGCAATAGAATGAAACCAATTGAAAGTGTTACACTGTTTTCCCTTTAATGGACCTGTCTAAGAACCCGAACCATTATAATATGGTGCTTTAGAATAATTATTTTAGAGTTTAAAACTCTTGCATTGGATAGTGTTGAACTATAGATGTAAAATTAGAAGGGGAAAATAGCATTTTTCCTGTCAAAATGTTTTTGGCCTACACGTTACCAGGCTGATGGAGGATAAATATAAACTAATAAATGTATATACTAATTCTAACTTTAGCTTTCAATTGAAGCGGAACATATCTTTTGATAAGTAGGACTGAATTTTCTCCCTAAACTTGAACCTTAAAGTGATCATATATTTGCTTATAACATTGGGTCTAAATTGATGTTCCTTATGAAGCAACACAAGATTTCTGCAATCCAAAAAACTGTTTCAGTTGTGAATCAGCTGTATGATTTCAGGTTGTTGAGTGCCATCTCGTTACAGATCCTCGAACAAAAGAGTCTCGTGGGTTTGGTTTTGTTACGATGGAGACAAATGAAGCTGCAGATCGATGTGTTAAGTATCTAAACCGCTCTGTGCTGGAAGGTCGGCTTGTTACTGTTGAGAAGGTAGATTTTCCTTTCAATCTTCAACAGTGTCTGATATTTTACATCATGGCCGTGCCTGAATTATTTGTGCTCAGCAACTTATTAAATTTTAGCTCTGCTTATCTTCAGAATTGTTGCCTGATAAATTTTGGCAGCAGGTCTGGTTTGTGTAACTCCATCGAATTCGAACTCTAAGCTCTAAAGTCTAAATCGTTGAACCTATCCTTTCGCAACTTGCGCTCTGCATCAACACACCGAATTCATCGAATGAATTTGCTATTTCCCAGAGGGTCGCTTGCCCTTAATCTCTACATCAGTAACAGTCACTGACATAGTAAACAATTGATGCTGCTTCAGTTTTTTTGGTTATGTTTTGTTCTCTGTGTGTCCTGTTGAAGGTTTGTGTCTTACCCCTACCCTGAAACAAGAATAATGAGTAGATCTAGTATGAAAATTTGAAAAGATTTTATTCCATTTCTTTTTGTTGGTTTTTTATCTTTCTGTTAGGAACAGAAATGGCAATGGTGTTATGCAGTGTCGGAAAGTCGTGAGGGAGTTAGTAGTTTGCTGTAGTTAGTGCAATTTGAGAAGTCTGTATGTCTGCAAGATATTCCACCCCTCATTTTAGCTGCAGTTTTCTCTACATATTTGAAACTTTCAAGACTCTCTTAGTGTTGTGCGATATTTTGCAGATGAGAATCTGACTAGTTATTTATTTATCTTGATACTACCACCTGATTTGTTTGTATATACAGGCTAAGAGAAAACGAGGTCGGACACCAACTCCTGGAAGATATCAAGGTGTGAGAAATACACGAGGTATGATTGTATGAATGTGTTTAAGATAAATATAAAAGGGAAAAGGACCAAATATTCCCTCGATCTATTTAAGAAAGTTCAATTACACCTTTAAACTGAAAAGAAAAAACTTCATATAAACCCTTGAATTCTGAAAAAAAATTGCAATTAATCCTTTTTTTTTTTTTTTTTTAAACTATAAATGACCAGTGACAGTAGGTTATTGATGAGTTGGTAGTTTATGTGTCTAATTTTTACTGATGTTTTTTTTTCTTAAAAAATAATTAATTTATTGACATTTCTACTTGAGACACATTTTAATATGATTATCAAAACACTAAAAGAAAAAAAAAAATTGACTCACACTTGAGAGGACATCTTGAGGATAATTATAAAAATTATAAATGTGTATCATCACTAATCTTTGAAATATAACACATACTTCAATAGATGAATATGTGCAAGCATTTCAGAATACTTGTCACATTTTAGTTTTTATCAGCACTATTGTTTTTGTCAAATACAGGGCCATTTCATATTAGTTACCCCACAGTTCTCTTGTTGTTTGCATTGATTATTAAGGAATGGAGATCAATTTTATTATCTTAAATGCCACATTAAATTTCCCTCCTTGGCCCTAATTTTTATTGGGAGCAAACTCCACTTTTAGTCCTTGAATATTGTGGCATTACCACATTTAGTCCTGCTATTTTAATTTTGCCACATTACATCATTAACTTTCATTTATTTGTCACAATTAGTCATCTTTTTAAAAAATTTGTTATTTTACCATTTAATAAATATGGCTAACAAGTAATTTCATCATTCAATTTAAAAAGTTTACATGAATGAGAGAAATTACATGTTAGGGCAAGACTGCAAGAGGCTTGAATGATGTTAGTCATCTTTATTAAATGGTGAAACGACAAAATTTTAAGAAGAGGACTAATGTGGTAATGCCACAATACGACTAAAAGTGGAACTTGCTCTTTTTATTGGATTCCATAATTCTTTGATTTACTTAAACATGGGCTGTTGTAAGTATGTGTAACACTCCACGTATAGCACTAATATTGCTTACTTATGCAGGATCTGATCGAAGACGATCTCGTAGCTACTCACCCCGCCGACGGCACGACAGGGATTCATATCATGGGGACCGACGAGGAAGGTCACGGTCACCATATAATAGGCGGGATGATGACTATGGTTCCTATAGAAGGCACCGGGACTGATGCACATCCCCTGGATTTGGGCTGCACAAGAGGCCGTGGGTTCAGCTTGTGTTTTTACAATTTCCTGGATGCATTTCTGTGGACTTATCGGGCTTTCAAATATATTAGATATTCCTAGTACTATTATGTTGCTCTTTTCTGACAGTCTACAATTGTAATGGATTGAACAATTCTCTTAGGTGTGGATTGGTTAAGTGCTCTTGCATGCAAAACTCTGTTAGTCTTCACTTCTGAGAGTCAACATTTTCAGTTTTTGGTGCAGATTTCAGTGTTATTGGCTAATTTTAAAACTAACTAGGTCTATAAGACTCTACTTATCGTTTACCTTTGCTCCGTGGATGGCCACCTCTTTGATTTACAGGAAAGTCAGTAGGTTGTTCATAATTAATTAGTTTAAATCAAGACATCTTTTAATAGGAATTGAATTTGGAATATTATAATTACTAAGTTAATATTTGACCAACTTAATTAGGCTGTCTCTTATAGAAGGTCACTTGACTAGACATACTCGCATACTCTTGTAGATAAGAGGAGGCTCTGTTAGTTGGACTTGTGCTTGTAGATGGTCACACAGCTAGACATAATCTTGTAGATGAGAAGAGGCTTTCGATGGTTAGGCAATTGGGGCAAGGCTTTGTAGTTAGAGTTGCCCCTATAGATGGTCACTTGGTTAGAAGTATTCTCGTAGATGCAAAGAAGTATTCTCGTAGATGCAATAAAATTTTGGTGGTTAGGTGATTGAGAATAAAAGCTTTTAGGTCGAGAAGCATGTATATTAATAATACCGTAGGGTCTAAGAGGCTTTTGGTATACTAAATTTTGGATTTGGAAATACAAGAAGATTGGTGGTTGAAGACTTAAAATTATAAAGAAGTTAGTTGATTAGCTCTTGTGAAATGATGATGTTTAATACAATCTTTTTTACTTTTGTAGGAATTAGTATTTATAGTGAAGTGTGTACTTTACACGTAATCTTACATGCATATGTGACAATCCATTATTGGCGCAAAGGAACAACCGAGATGATGGTGCAAGTTGAATTGCTTGCAAGTAGATGTGATGTCTATAAGCTATCTTAATCTCTAAAATACTTACCATGCTGTCCCTAAAGAAGTAGTGTTGATTGGCTTGTCTTAATCGATAGAGATTTCACTTGTTACCTTTATCCTTAAAATAGTACAATTTGATTGACTTGCCACAACCGATAACTTATAGAGCTAAAATATCAATTTACCAACATACCTCAAATATTATAACTCATTATTGGCACAAAGGACTGAAAGGAGCAACCAAGGTGATTGGGCAAGTTGAATTGCTTGCAAGCAGGAGTGATGTGTATAAGGTCTTAATCTCTAAAATATTTAACATGTTATCCGTAAAGAAGTAGGGTTGATTAACTTGTCGTAACTTACAGAGGTTTCACATGTTAGCCTTATTCTTAAAGTAGTACAGTTTGATTAACTTGCTACAACCGATAGAGACCTATAGAGTTCAAATCTCAAATTACTGACACATCTCAAAATCTCGTTCGTTAACTAGGAAGACCATGATATGGGCTAACCCATCTATTTTATGAAGTCTCAAACTACCGATCAACTGTATTGAATATGTCCACTAATACAGTTTGATTGACTTGCTACAACTGATAGAGACTTATATAATTTAAATCTCAATTCACTGACACGTCTAGAATCTCGATTAATTAACTGGAAGGCCGTGATATAGACTGGCCCATCTATTTTATAAAGTCCCAGCCTACCGAGCAACCGTATTGAATAGATCCACTAAATTAGGTTAACCCTAAGCATACCTTTTTGCATAGGACATCTAATTGAGCTATTTGAGACCAACCCAACAAAATCTTAAAACCCTAAAATTTAGCCTCTAATTATACTTAGTTGGCCTATGATCGAGTGAGTTGTTATTGGTATAGACTTTAGAAGTCTTATCCTTTCTGTTTAATTCACAAAACCATATATTTTTCTCAATATAATTCTCTCGTCAAACTCATTCATTAGCTGTCAAAATTCACTTCTGTAGTTCTGTATTGATTCTTTCGAAAAATATTTACGGAAACTTCCGCCCGTGTCTGGTCGTGGCTCGTCGCTGTTTGGAGAAGAAGAGTTGATGGACTTACCTGAGATTTGATTTTTTTTAAACATATATAAAACGAGTCGAAAAGCTCTGTGCGAGGTAAGAATTTACAGAAAATGAGCATGAATGGCATTTGCATATGTAAAGATTGTCTTGCATTAGAATTAATCAGTCGTGATGCATTAATTTTTATGCAGATTTGTTCATATCTGTTTGCTTCCAGGCGCACACACACCACACACCTGAAAAAAGTAGAGATTTTCGAAGTTCATGGAAGCATGTTCACATTTGAAAGATGAAACAACACTTGATGAAGATGAAATAGACCATACTTCAAATTGGGGAAATGAGTTTTCTTTGAGGCATACAGTAGAAGATTGGGTTTTTGATGGCTGTAAGAAGAAGCTCAGTTGCTTTTTTGATCAAATACTAGGATTGTTTCTAAAGGATGTATCTAAGAATAGATGCTTTAGGCCTCTCCCGGTAATGAATGGCAATGGGCAGGAGGTGAATTTGTTTAAACTTTACTCCTTAGTTAGAAGAATTGGTGGATATGATGCAGTTTCAAGGGAAAACTTTTGGGGGTTTGTAGCGGAGCAATGTGGGTTCGGTTTTGGGGAAATAGCGTTTTTGAAGTTGACTTACATCAAGTATTTGAATGAATTTGATCAATGGATTCGGCAGCATTGGAGAGAGAGTAGATTGGAGAAAGTAGAAAGTGGACTTATTAGGAGACTGGAACTGTTGTCAAGGGAGTTGGAGATGAAGTTTAGAAAGAAAAGTATGAAGTCATGCTTTCTAAAAAATGATGACAATGGGGACATGTACCCAGATAAGGGTCACGCTGAATTGGATTTATTGCCTGTCAAAAATGTTGATAACATTTGCAGTAATGCTAAAGAGAGAGTTATCACGGTTGATCAAAATAATTGTGATATGAACAAAGATGGAGGGGAAGTTCTTGTTGATGTTGGCATTGCTAGTGTCTCTGATTATGTGGAATCATCCAAGAAATTGGCTGTAAAAAATGTTGATAAAAATAAAGTTCATAACAATACTAAACTAATAGTTCCCAGTGCTAAAGGCAAGAATTGTTGTGTGGTCTTTGACAGAGAACAATCAAGCATTGATGGTAAAAATGATACGGACTATGCAGCATCTGCCAAAAAGATTGTTCAGAAAGTCCTCAATGCAGTTCCGGAATTTTCCCAAAGACAATTTGATGATGACAAAAAATGTTTTACCAAAGACAATGCTGTTGTTACCTCAGCCAAAAACCTTATTGAGAGAGTCATCAATAAAATGCATTACTTACCTGAAGAAGCTGAGGAACCAGCAAAGGATATTGAGGAAATACATACATGGAAGAGAAAACGGGCACCTTCATGTTTCTCAGGAATGCTTGATTGGGTGACCAATGCTGCAAAATATTCTGATAATCCTGAAATTGGGAAAATTCCTGCTTGTTCCAAGTGGAGGGATCATAGTAGCAATGAATTTTGGGTCCAGGTTTTATTGATTCGAGAAGTGCTACTGAACAAAAAACATTTCAGGTCAAGTTCTGAAGAATCTACCCCCCAGGTATGATCCATTGATCTTTTCTATCTCTGTATATTGAATATTTTACAGCTTCTTAGTTGGATGAATATGTTCCATTACTAGCAAAGGTCTAGTATTTTATTATATTTGTAGTGATTGACTGCAGCATAGATTAATTGCTTTAATTGTTGCATGCGATAGTTTTGTGCTTTTGAATAGGTATGTGAATACATAGTATTACTATCAATCTATCATAAAATGTGTGTCCAGACTGGGATCTGCTGATTTTTTTTCTTTCTTTTTTTAATAAATCTTGTCAACTATCAATAATTTATATGTATATGCTCTTAACCTATTAAAAATTGAATTCTCACTATAAAGATAATAGCTTGATTTTTCCTCAGTGAATAGTGTACATGTTTGATATGTCAAACACTAACGTCGTTTGCTTCGTGGAATACATTGGGAATAGAATGTCATTCCGTGGAATAGATCTATTTCGCTGTTTGGTTCGGTTTTCGCAACAAAGAATATAATTCCATTGAATGGGTTATTTCCTTTGCAATGGGAATAGCCATTTCCAAAGCCCCCCTTGGTATTAGCTATTCCTACTTCATTAGGAATAGATATTTTTTATTATTTCAAAAATACCCTTATAAACCCTTCATATAAATACATATATTTCCATGCTTCCTTCAAGCTCCTACGATTAATCTATCGACTTCCTATCATTGCTAAGGTACGATAATATGTTTCTATGTTTTCTTCTTTCTTTTTTGTTTTTTTGTTTTTTGTTTTTTGTTTTTTAAATTTTTTGTATTTTGTTACTTTATGGTTGGTGAGTATGTATATATTTGTATGTGTTTTATTTTGAATATATGAGTATTTTTGTTATTTAAATGATATTCCTTTTTCTATTCCCTGGTCCAACCAAGCACGAGAATATGATTCATCCTATAATCACATGATTCCTATTCTATTCCTTTCTTATTCCATTCATGTTGGAATTCTATTCTATTCCCTTTACTTTTATTCTTGAACCAAACTCCACGTATAACAAAAATATTAGATACCGTTGTCATTATACTTAAAAGGTCATTTTTCGACACTTATAACAATCGCGTTATAGTTTGTAACCATGAATAAGGATGTTACACATAATTACGTTACGCGAAGAACAAGTTATTTGTTTAGAGCAAGGGTAGTACAAAGTGACAGGCTGCCGTATAAAATTATTTTAATAAATCAATCTTTATTCCATCTTACAGATCTTTTTCCATTATGAGTAAAGGGAACAGATGAGGGCAATACTGTTGAGGGTTTGATCTGAAATATTCTCCACTTTTGAAGTGAAGCTCCTATACATTGTCATATGTGTATCTGGAGGAGTTAGGCTCTGTCGTCATTAGCAATGCATGTCTTGATGATCCATTTTGTTGATTTACCTGAAGGGATCCTTATAAGTGTTTAGGTAATAATCTTTTGACAAATAGTTGCTTCAAGCCTTCAACTCTCTCAACTCAGCATAGCTAAGCCTTGATCCCAAACCAATTAGGGTCGGCTGCAGAGATTATGTTTGTACGTGTAGTGCTTTTTAGTATTAGTTCAGGCATAATCCCTTGCACTAG